CCTCCCTTCCTTCCTTCCTTCCTTCCTTCCTTCCTTTTTTTTGTATTTTTGAGTCAGGGTCTCCCTGTAGCTGGTCTGGAACTCACTATGTAGACCAGGCTAGCCTTGAACTAACAGAGATCCACCTGCCTCTGCCTCCCCAGTGCTAGGATTAAAGGCATGTACCACCATGCCCGGCTAAGATACATTTCTTATATGGCATAATCAGATTTTGTTTTGTTTGAGATCCTCCTGTCTTGGTTTCCCAAATTCTGGGATTACAGGCTTGTACTACCACACCCAGCTTTAGATTTTGATTTTTAAAATACAGCCTGATAAATTTAGTTGTTTAACTGAAACCTCTGATGCATTTATATTTAATGTACTTACCAACATAATTGAATTTAAATATACTATGGTTGATGCCAGGGTAAGCCACCCAAATCTCCTCCTCCAGGATTGGAGTACTCAATCTCTCGGTTGCTTGGAGCAGAGGTAGTAAATAGCTCACAGCTGAATCCCTTTTAGGACTTGCCCTCAGCTGGAGTAGGACCTTGCTCAAGCCATGTCTGTTTGTGATGGTGGGACCCTGCATCCACTAACTGGTCAGTAACAGAGTTAAAGGTGACATTTGCAAGGTTATCCCCAATCCAGAGTTTCTGTGTGTACAGATGGATGGTGTGTATATGTACATATGTATCTAGGTGTACATGTTATATCCATACATATGGAGGCCAGAGGACTACCTCAGGTGCTGTTCCTCAGGACTCAAATGCAGAGTAGCTACAATTTTTTATTATTGTTGTTTTCTTGAGACAGGGTCTCCCTATAGCCCCAGCTGGCCTGGAACTTGCTATGTACCTGGCTGGCTTCAATCTCACAGAGGTTCACCGCCCGCTACTTCCTGAGTGCTGGGAATAAAGGCATGCACCACTGTGCCCAGCTAAACTACAATTTTTCTTAAGTCAGCTGTAGAAAAGCGATGTATTTTAGAGTCAGAAATAATAGAAAAGTAACTATCAAATTATGCTCTGTTTCCATTTCTTTTAAATAAAAGAGAAATTAGAGTAAAAAATAGTAAGTTCAATAGCATCGCCCTGGGACAGAATACACACCAATATATGCTCATACTTAAGAAATGTATTAATCAATCCAAGATAAAATACTACCCACTTACTTTTGGCTTATTCTCATAGAATAGTATTTCTAATACCAGTAGATGATATTAATGGGACTTCCTGGAATGGGGTTGGCAGGGATGCATTTTTTCCAATCAAGTGTTGTTATTCTCTCAGAGATATATAACAGACATTATTATATTAAAGACCCTGAAAAATCTTCAGTAAAGCCAATTGTTTATTTTTTGTATTTTATTTATTTTTATGTGCATGAGTGTATTACCTGCATATATGTAAGTGTACCCATGTCATGTAATGCCCATGGATGTCAGAATAGGGTGTTGGATTCCCCTGGAACTGGAGTTATGGATGGTTGTTAACTACCATGTGGGTGCTGGGAATAGAACTCAGGTCCTCTGCAAGAATAGCCAGCGTACTTAACCACTGAGCCATCTCTCTAGCCCCCAGTTGTTTGTTTGTTGGTTTGGTCTTTTTTGAGACATCATCTCTTTGTAGCTCCAGCTGTCCTGGAACTTGCTATGTAGACTGTAGGCTGACCTTGAACTCACAGAGATCTGCTTGCCTCTGCCTCTAGAGTGCTGGGATTAAAGGCATGCACCACCACACCTCACTACAGTTTTTTTTTTTAATTAATAACTTCATATTTCCAAATATATCTGACCAGGGAAATACTTGATTCAAGGAGTGTGTGTGTGTGTGTGTGTGTGTGTGTGTGTGTGTGTGTGTGTGATAGTATGCCTGATTATGGAGAGCAGAGGTTGACATCTGATGTCTTTCTCTATCACTCTCCACCTTATTTTTGAGACAGGCTATCTAACCAAACCTGGAGCTCACAGATTACTGAGACTGACTGGTCAGCAAGCCCCCAGATCTTCCTGTCTCTGCCTCCTAGAGCTGGGATTACAGACATGCACCTACATGCCTGGCTTTTTACATTGGTGCTGGGGATCAAACTCAGGCACTTGATCTACTGATCATCTATCTCCCCAGCCCAGTAATATTTCTTACTTTACTATGATTACTCATTTTCCTCCCTGTTCAACTGTAGGTTCTATAAGATAAAGACATTTTTGTTCCTGCTATCTACACATACCTGGAATAACTGGTCTGGGTAAAGAGTGACATCCAATAATTACAGACTCTTCAATTACTCATGGTCATTGGAATCCTAAAATTCATTCATCTATTCTCCCCCCCCCATTTTTTTTGAGATAGTGTCCCACAGTGCAGCCCAGTCTTGCCTTGAACACATGATCCTCCTGCCTCAGTCTCCCAAGTACTGGGTTTACAGACACATACCACCATGCCCAGAATCCACAAGCCATTAATTAGTATTAAAAATATACTTGTCGGTCAGGGTTGGTGGTACATGCCTTTAGTTCCAGCACTCAGGAGGTAGAGACAGGCAGGTCTACACAATGAGTTCCAGACCAGCTGTGGCTACAGGGAGACTCTGTCTCAGAAAGACCAAAAATAAAGTAAAATAAAATAAAATAGAAATAAAAATACACTTGTATGGTTGGGGCCAGTAAGATGGCTTGGGTTGTAAAAGGACTTTGTGCACAACCCTGATGACCTGAGTTTGATCTCAGAATCCATGTAAAAGCTGGATGTGGCACTTCACACATCTGTTACCTCAGCACTCCTAAGGTGGGTTGGGAGAAGACTGGAGAACCAGTCAGAAGCTCAGATAGGCAGTGTAGCCTAGAGCAGAAGCAGAAAAAGCAGGGGGATCCTGTTGTAATACGGTGCAAGAACAGAATCAAAGTTGTCCTCTGACCTCTGCACATGTGTTGTGGCACACACATACATGCATACATTCTCTCTCTCTCTCTCTCTCTCTCTCTCTCTCTCTCTCTCTTTCCAATAAACTTTAAAAAATTTATATAGTTGTATGAGAAGGGGGTACAGTTTGGTGGTAAAGGTCTAGCACCATAAAAGCAAAACAAAGAAACAAAACAAAAATAAATATATGGTTCTGAAAGAAGTGTTTTGATATTATGTATAGCAAAAAGTATTGGCAGAAAATAAGGAGTTAGCTTAAAATCCTCAAACCTTTAAAATACAAGTGCTATAGAACCAGTAAACTCACTGTAAATCTTGAAAATGGTAAAATGATTTTCATAAAATATATTGAATCACTAGGAGAGAAAATAAGTGATAAGTATATGCTTTTTAGATAAAATTTCATGTTTAAGATGATGTAATTTATTTTTTAAATCTATTATAGGAAGTCTCTCTGCAAATAACATTTAGATTGCAATTTTTTAAAAAAAATCTGATATATAATATCCCAAATTTCAACTACATTTGAAAACACAGCTCCTTCTGTGTAGTGAGAGTGCTCCTACACTAACTTACTTGCATTATATATTTAGATTTCTGAATACTGAAGTTTTCAAAGTTGGGAATACTCCTATGTTGGACATATCAAAAGGTTAAGAACACATTTCATCACAACTGCGATGTCAAGTTGCCTGTATTCTTGCAGATAATTATTAGTAAGTCCTTAAGTAGTAAGTATAGTAGTATTACAAGAGTTTTCAGAAAACTAGAGAAATTAAAGTACTTACAATGATTTTCTTGCAGTCTTTTCCTCTGCATAGCTCTGTATAAGTGGAATACTGTACATATATAATCCAGCTTCCAACAAAAACCGCCAGCCAGGAAAAGAAAAGATATTTCATCCGCATGTATGAGAAGCGAGCCTGTAAGTGAAAGAGCGCACAGGATCACTCACTCAGCACTCACTGTCCAGCTGTGACCTCCCCTTTGCTAGAGAAAGGCTACATATAGTCTGGGCTTTTCTATGGCCATTCTAGAACAAAGTGCACTTTGAGGGAGTCTAAACAACACTGGTCTTAGAAAAGCAAGCTCCCTCTTCTGGCTAAGGAACAAAGAAACAAAATATCTTTTAAGATGTTCAACATTTCAAATATTACGACCATCAAAAGCTACTTACTGAGCACAAGCCTGCACACAGCTACAGTGTAGCACCATGTAGTGACACAATCCCATTTACTAGAAGCTTAGAAAAGACTGCTTCAGATGAGAATTTTAAAGGTTTTTAATGACTAACCCTAGTAATAAAATATTTTGTAAATAAACAAAAACAGAGAATATGATTATTTGTCTAATAGCTCATGGTGGCAGCCAGAACAAGAAACCAAGCTCCCCAGTCATTCCTAATTTCTTATTGTATTCAGCTAACCAAATATTACATCTAATAGATATCTTGGAACTGAGGAGACTGTTACAGTTATGAAAGGAGAAATGGCTGGAGGAGGATTAAAATATATTAAGAATGACTTCACCAGGTATGGTGATGCATGCTTATCATCCAAGCACTTGGGAGGTGGACGCAGGAGAACAAAGTTCAAGCACCCTTGGTTATATTGAGTTCAAGGCCAGTCTAGGCTACATAAGACCCAAAACAACAGCAGCAACACCACTAAGAAAGGGAGAGAGGGAAGAAGAGAGAGGGGAAGGGAGGGAGAGAGGGAGGGAGAGAGGGAGGGAGAGAAGAAGGGTGGGAGAGAGAAGAAAGGGAGAGAAGGAGGGAGAGAGGAAGGGATGGAAAGAATACATTACTCCCTGCTAGCAAAACCATACAATAGGATTTATCTTTGCATTGTTTTGTGTCCAGGGCTCTGATACCTAATTGCAACTTAGGCTGCTGGTGCCTTTTCTACATCAACCACATATCAAGCAGTTTAATCTTCAAATGTGAAGTTTGTTCAACATAGGCTGACATTTACTTTTCAGATCTACAGTGCCAATGGTTTGATTTAATAAGCAGTAGAACTGAGGCCTACAGAGAGAACTGGGCGGGATAAATTAAAGATGCATACACAAACAATGAAAAGCTAGTTTTGCTTTGACTATCACAAGCCAGTTTCTCACACTGGGAAACAGTGGAATACTGTGAGCACTGTGAGCGTGCAAAAGCAGCAAAGAGATGAAAGAGCCGCGGTGCACCTGCAGCAGACAATGAAGGAGAGAGACTCAGGAAATACTCGATTCTGTTGGCCCTGCCTGCATTTCGATATCTGTCACTGTGAGGTTAACAGATGGTGAATCCTGGGACCGAAAGCTTGAGTACAAAGAATTCACAGTTACACAGTGTATCTTTCAGCTTTATTAGTAAACATAAAAGGACTTTTAATGTAAAATATATTTATGCAGCTCTAAGTAAATTCATAAACTCCACATTAAACCACAATGGAGAATACACGAAGGGGTCTGTCTGAAAAATTTTGAGATTATGTGACCTGAACAAAAGGTTTGCTCATCAGATATAAATTGGTATATACTCATATTTTGAAGCTCAAGTAAGATTAAATGGCATATGCCTATAGAGCATAAGCACATTGCTGAGCACGTAGCAAATACTGAAAGAATGCTAGCTAAAGCTATTTTGTAGGTCACTGATTGAGAGACCAACAATGCAGTCATTGGCGCTTGCCTTCCTTCTGACTTGCCAAAAAGAAAACCGAATCTGGATCTGATCAAACAAGCCTTTAGCTCCAACTACCAGTTCACAGGAAACAGTGGAGACAGACAGTGGAACACAAGTGACCTTGAAGTAAGTGACTCTGGGAGGCAAACGCCAGGCTGTGAGAAATACTGCAATATAAACAAACCCATTTCTTTAACAGTTAACTTACTAGGGGTAAAGAGAGAGGAAAACTTAAAGATTAGAACATATTTAAGAAATACAGTGAATGGTCACAACACAGAAACCTTTCTGGAGTTCTGATTCAAATAAAAAACTGTAAATAAAATCTTCGTGAGACAAGCCCAAGATTTTTCTTTTTTAACATATTTTTTCACTTACTTTGTATGCCTGTGTGTATGTGTGTGGGTATGTGAGTGCCACAGCATGTGTGTGGGGGTCAGAAGACAACCTGTAGGAACCGATTCTCTCTGCACCACATAGGATTTGAACTCAGGTCGTCAGGCTTGGCAGCAGGTGCTTTTACCTGCTGAGCCATCTATTTTCTTATCTATCTATCTATCTATCTATCTATCTATCTATCTATCTATCTATCTATCATCTATCTATCTATCATCTATCTATCTATCTATCTATCTATCATCTATCTATCTATCATCTATCTATCTATCTATCTATCTATCATCTATCTATCTATCATCTATCTATCTATCTATCTATCTATCTATCTATCTATCTATCTATCTATCATTTATTTTTCAGTGCTGGAGACCAGACCCAGGACCTTGGGCTTGCTAGGCAAGCACTCTACCGCTGAGTTAAGCTCCAAATTCTAACATATGGGAGACAAATGATAGTTTGAAAAATCACAGAAAAGGTGATGATGTGAAAAGATGGTTCTGAGGAAATATTTAGGTGCTTTGCTCTTCTCTCTGAATGAGTGACACGTTCCCACTTCTCCCAGCATATGTTCAAACTGAAGAATACCCTGTGCACTGAGGGCCTCTATGGGTGATCATCAAAACACAGAAGGTCAAATATGTTGCAGAGGAAGTCAGGTTAATGATGGCCCCAGCAGGGTGCTGAGCATCACCTGTCATAGAGATGATGACCAAAGAAGGTAAACACATTCTTTATTCCAGCAGCTATGGAAAATTGCAATGACTTAGGAGTCAACAAAACAGAATGGAGATATTATGTGGCCTTTAACATCTGAAGATCCTGCAGCCTTGCATTTTAAAAAATGACCAAAGAAAGAAATAGCTATAAACTACATCTCTATTAACTAATTTTATTTCCCTATGTAGCACTTGATAAAATGTTTCTAGTGGGCTGCTCTATATTAATTACCTAGACAATCTAGTCTTTGATTAAGAAATGTAGTCTGACATTTTTGTTTATGCTGAACTATCCAAAATTACTGCCTAGCAGGTTTTTTTTATTGTGCTGATTTTGTGCCTAGCTACTAATAAAACATTGCTCTATTCCAAATAATGCTCCTGAAAAATGTGACAACAACCTCAAGTAATCACAGCAGGGCAGTGATTCTTGGCTACAGTCAGTTTGGTCCCCTAATGGGGCACTTGGAAATGTCTGCAGACATTTTCAGTTTCATAGCTTTGATTTGCTCCTGGAATCTTTAAAAAAATTAAATATTAAATATATTTGTATGTGTATGAGTGTTTTGCCTGCATGTATATAAATACCAACATGTATGAAATACCTGTGGAGACCAGAAGAGGGTGTTGGATCTCCTGTAATTGAAGTTATGGGTAGTTGTTAGCTACCATGTAGGTGCTGGGAACTGAACCTGGGTTCTCTGCAAGAGCAGCCAGTGCTCTTAACCACTGAGCCATCTCTCTAGTCCCTGATACTGAAATCTTATGGGTAGTGACTAGAGATGTTGCTAAACATCCTACAATGTGCACTACAGTTTTCCCACAGTCCAAGATGTCATATTTATGTGACACTACTGTTTTATTTCTAAGTAGTCTTTAGCGTATAAGTTATTACTAATTTAAAAGGTATGGAGCATCTGTCTGGAGAGGTCTGGTAAGAATCACCAACAATCTTTTATTGTAAATAAAGACAAGTTACTAGGGATGGAAAATATGCACATGATAAACAATCTTTCTCTGTCAACTCCACACTAAAGAATAGTGGTGGGGCTGGGAATGTAGTTCAGTTGGTAAAGCGTTTGCCTAGCATGCACAAAGCCCTGGGGTCCATCCCAGGCACCACATAAACTAGGCATGGTGTTACATGCCTGTAACTCCAGCACTGAGGAGGTGGGGGCAGAAGGGTCAGGGGTTCAAGGTAATCCTCAGCTACACAGAAAGTCTGGGTCCAATCTAGGATACATGAGATCTTGTCTCAAAAATAGAAACAGGACTAGTGAGATGGTTCAGTAGGTAAAGGGGCTTGCCACCAACCCTGCCACTAACCTGAGTTCAATCCCCAGAGCCCCCATGGTGTAAAGAAAGAAGGTAGTCTTCCAAGTTGTCCTCTGAGCTTCATCCATGTGCCTAGGTGTGTATGTGTGTACACGTGTACACACATGCACACACACAGTGTTAAAAAATAGCAAAGAACAAAACCCCAGAGTGATTAAAAAATAGTAGAAACTTTGCTTCTTTTTAAAAAATTGCCTACATCACAGTGACAACTTAGCTTGAAACAAATCTGAAAATCTTTGATCTTGTTTATGCAATTGTTTTTGAGAGAGGGTTACAGGCATGCACAACCACACCTGGTTTATGCAGTACTGGGGATTAAATCCAGTGCTTTCTGGTGTTAGGCAATGACTGTTCCAACTGAGCTACATCCTTAGCCCCTTGTTTGTATAATTCTACATGAAGTTTTAGAAACAGGCAGAAAAAGACAACTCTCCAAAGGTCAGCCATTTTAAACTACTTCTATTATTGACCTACTTTCTAATCACATCTTATGTTACCTCTAAAAGTATCCTAAACATTGGGGCTGGAGAGATAGCTCAGCAATTAAGAGCACTGGCTGTTCTTGCAGAAGACCCAGGTTTGAATACCAGCACCCACATGGCAGCTAACAACTGTCCGAAACTCAAGTTCCAAGGGAATCTGACGGCCTCTTCTGTCCTCCACGGACATCACACAACACAGGTGCACTTACCTACATGCAGACAATACATGCATACACATAAAATAAAAAATAATAATAAATAAAAAATATCAAAAATATCTTAAACATTCTGTTTTAAGAATTTGGGAGGAAAAAATACTGATCATATCTTTATTTTTGTCCAAATATTTCACTTAAAACATTTAGTGAACTTGATCAGTCAGACAGCATAGCAAACTGATAATTTTATGTTAACTTGCAAACGCTCAAATGGAGGGGGGCTGGAGAGATGGCTCAGTGGTTTA